ACATTATACACAAAGAGATTGACATATCTGATGTATATCTGGCCTACAGTTGTACAGCAGGTGTACATTATACATAAAGAGATCGACATATCTGATGTATATCTGGCCTACAGTTGTACAGCAGGTGTACATTATACATAAAGAGATCGACATATCTGATGTATATCTGGCCTACAGTTGTACAGGAGGTGTACATTATACATAAAGAGATTGACATATCTGATGTATATCTGGCCTACAGTTGTACAGCAGGTGTACATTATACATAAAGAGATCGACATATCTGATGTATATCTGGCCTACAAGCGTACAGCAGGTGTACATTATACATAAAGAGATCGACATATCTGATGTATATCTGGCCTACAGTTGTACAGCAGGTGTACATTATACATAAAGAGATCGACATATCTGATGTATATCTGGCCTACAAGCGTACAGCAGGTGTACATTATACATAAAGAGATCGACATATCTGATGTATATCTGGCCTACAGTTGTACAGCAGGTGTACATTATACATAAAGAGATTGACATATCTGATGTATATCTGGCCTACAGGTGTACAGCAGGTGTACATTATACATAAAGAGATTGACATATCTGATGTATATCTGGCCTACAGGTGTACAGCAGGTGTACATTATACATAAAGAGATTGACATATCTGATGTATATCTGGCCTACAGGTGTACAGCAGGTGTACATTATACATAAAGAGATCGACATATCTGATGTATATCAGGCCTACAGTTGTAAAACAGGTGTACATTATACATAAAGAGATTGACATATCTGATGTATATCTGGCCTACAGCTCGTACAGCAGGTGTACATTATACATAAAGAGATTGACATATCTGATGTATATCTGGCCTATAGTTGTACAGCAGGTGTACATTATACATAAAGAGATTGACATATCTGATGTATATCTGGCCTACAGTTGTACAGCAGGTGTACATTATACATAAAGAGATTGACATATCTGATGTATATCAGGCCTACAGTTGTACAGCAGGTGTACATTATACATAAAGAGATCGACATATCTGATGTATATCTGGCCTACAGTTGTACAGCAGGTGTACATTATACATAAAGAGATTGACATATCTGATGTATATCTGGCCTATAGTTGTACAGGAGGTGTACATTATACATAAAGAGATCGACATATCTGATGTATATCTGGCCTATAGTTGTAGAGCAGGTGTACATAATACATAAAGAGATTGACATATCTGATGTATATCTGGCCTACAGTTGTACAGCACGTGTACATTATACATAAAGAGATCGACATATCTGATGTATATCTGGCCTACAGTTGTACAGCAGGTGTACATTATACATAAAGAGATTGACATATCTGATGTATATCTGGCCTACAGTTGTACAGCAGGTGTACATTATACATAAAGAGATTGACATATCTGATGTATATCTGGCCTACAGTTGTACAGCAGGTGTACATTATACATAAAGAGATCGACATATCTGATGTATATCTGGCCTACAGTTGTACAGGAGGTGTACATTATACATAAAGAGATCGACATATCTGATGTATATCTGGCCTACAGTTGTACAGGAGGTGTACATTATACATAAAGAGATTGACATATCTGATGTATATCTGGCCTACAGTTGTACAGCAGGTGTACATTATACATAAAGAGATCGACATATCTGATGTATATCTGGCCTACAAGCGTACAGCAGGTGTACATTATACATAAAGAGATCGACATATCTGATGTATATCTGGCCTACAGTTGTACAGGAGGTGTACATTATACATAAAGAGATCGACATATCTGATGTATATCTGGCCTACAAGCGTACAGCAGGTGTACATTATACATAAAGAGATCGACATATCTGATGTATATCTGGCCTACAGTTGTACAGCAGGTGTACATTATACATAAAGAGATTGACATATCTGATGTATATCTGGCCTACAGGTGTACAGCAGGTGTACATTATACATAAAGAGATTGACATATCTGATGTATATCTGGCCTACAGGTGTACAGCAGGTGTACATTATACATAAAGAGATTGACATATCTGATGTATATCTGGCCTACAGGTGTACAGCAGGTGTACATTATACATAAAGAGATCGACATATCTGATGTATATCAGGCCTACAGTTGTAAAACAGGTGTACATTATACATAAAGAGATTGACATATCTGATGTATATCTGGCCTACAGGTGTACAGCAGGTGTACATTATACACAAAGAGATCGACATATCTGATGTATATCTGGCCTATAGTTGTACAGCAGGTGTACATTATACATAAAGAGATTGACATATCTGATGTATATCTGGCCTACAGTTGTACAGCAGGTGTACATTATACATAAAGAGATTGACATATCTGATGTATATCTGGCCTACAGTTGTACAGCAGGTGTACATTATACATAAAGAGATTGACATATCTGATGTATATCAGGCCTACAGTTGTACAGCAAGTGTACATTATACATAAAGAGATCGACATATCTGATGTATATCTGGCCTACAGTTGTACAGCAGGTGTACATTATACATAAAGAGATTGACATATCTGATGTATATCTGGCCTATAGTTGTACAGCAGGTGTACATTATACATAAAGAGATCGACATATCTGATGTATATCTGGCCTATAGTTGTAGAGCAGGTGTACATAATACATAAAGAGATTGACATATCTGATGTATATCTGGCCTACAGTTGTACAGCACGTGTACATTATACATAAAGAGATTGACATATCTGATGTATATCTGGCCTACAGTTGTACAGCAGGTGTACATTATACATAAAGAGATTGACATATCTGATGTATATCTGGCCTACAGTTGTACAGCAGGTGTACATTATACATAAAGAGATTGACATATCTGATGTATATCTGGCCTACAGTTGTACAGCAGGTGTACATTATACATAAAGAGATCGACATATCTGATGTATATCTGGCCTACAGTTGTACAGCAGGTGTACATTATACATAAAGAGATTGACATATCTGATGTATATCTGGCCTACAGTTGTACAGCAGGTGTACATTATACATAAAGAGATTGACATATCTGATGTATATCTGGCCTACAGGTGTACAGCAGGTGTACATTATACATAAAGAGATCGACATATCTGATGTATATCTGGCCTACAGGTGTACAGCAGGTGTACATTATACATAAAGAGATTGACATATCTGATGTATATCTGGCCTACAGTTGTACAGCAGGTGTACATTATACATAAAGAGATCGACATATCTGATGTATATCTGGCCTACAGTTGTACAGCAGGTGTACATTATACATAAAGAGATCGACATATCTGATGTATATCAGGCCTACAGTTGTACAGCAGGTGTACATTATACATAAAGAGATTGACATATCTGATGTATATCTGGCCTACAGTTGTACAGCAGGTGTACATTATACATAAAGAGATTGACATATCTGATGTATATCTGGCCTACAGTTGTACAGCAGGTGTACATTATACATAAAGAGATTGACATATCTGATGTATATCTGGCCTACAGTTGTACAGCAGGTGTACATTATACATAAAGAGATCGACATATCTGATGTATATCTGGCCTACAGTTGTACAGCAGGTGTACATTATACATAAAGAGATCGACATATCTGATGTATATCTGGCCTACAGTTGTACAGCAGGTGTACATTATACATAAAGAGATCGACATATCTGATGTATATCTGGCCTACAGGTGTACAGCACGTGTACATTATACACAAAGAGATTGACATATCTGATGTATATCTGGCCTACAGTTGTACAGCAGGTGTACATTATACATAAAGAGATTGACATATCTGATGTATATCTGGCCTACAGGTGTACAGCAGGTGTACATTATACATAAAGAGATCGACATATCTGATGTATATCTGGCCTACAAGCGTAAAGCAGTGTGGTTTGCATGTGCATTAACATAGTGATGGAGAAACAGTCGTGGGACATAAGTCTTCATCAGTTTGTCCTCCCTCCGCCCCCAACAACATGTATTTTTTAAGTTGCTAGAGGTATCATTACATTCGTACAAACCATACTATTTGGTCACATTCCCTTTCATCCTAATCACTTCCTGTAAAGATCTCTATCAGCTCTCTTTCATGAAGCGAAAATTGTGCACTATCGTCTCTGCCATGAACAGATTCCTTCTTCCCCTTCATAATGCATTTTCAACAAAACCATGGGTTTTCATCATACTGTCAGCGGTTTTCCATGTAAGACTAAGCCAATTCAGACTTATTATTCATCTCTCTGGAAGTTTTTACAACCATTTCTTGGACATCCACACTAAAAACTAAACTTTTCCAATCCATGATTTCTAAAGCCGCAAAGAGTAGACATGAACCTGCAGATGACAACTTGGCGAAGATCAAGTGACCGTCACATGCACAGCTTATCTTGACATTAGTAGTCACCTCTGTGGCAGTGTGCAGCTAATGATGGCACCCTACATCATCATACATACATACATTCTACAGTAACTGATGACTACTTGTGCCCCCTGACTGTACATCCGGTGCTCATGTGCATCGTGCCCACACCTCCGTGCAACCTCCTGACAAACATACCTGTTTCTCTAGGCATGAAAACTGCACAGGGAAAAACTGAATATCATGAAAAATAACATGTTTTATGTAAAAAAACATATCACAGCTAAATAACAATGTGTGTTTATCACTTAAAGTGCATCACCAATTTTGCATCTATGTGTGGGTAAGTGAAAAAAAAATCTAAATGTAAAACCATCTCTTCTTGTATAACCATCTTTTGAAACCAACTTCATTACCCACAAATTGTATCATGACAATATATTTTTCAAAAAAATCCTTGAACCCAAAAGTGGAAAGTTTTTAATGTCTTAAAACGCAGATGGACAAACTCCATAATGGCAGGAAGTCGAGAGTGAAATGTTTGTGAGGGCCGTGTGCCTACCTCCTCCCTTGTTGTTTTGTAAGGGTCCTCGATCTCACACGCCTTCTCCACCATCTCCCAGTCAGCGTCCGCCAGAAACCTACACACACAACACACGAGTCATAGGCCAGCAGGCTACACTTCCCTGCAAATTGTTCTAAATATGCACACAAAACCTGCATTGCTTGTCATGATACATTTTCCCTTTTTCTTAAATCTCACTTACCGTATTTTCTTGAGTATAGTGAGCACCCAAGTATAATGCGCACCCCCCTAGTGGATTCGGTATTTTGGATAAAAAGATTCCATTATTAAGCGAAGAAATAAATTACACCGTACCCCTTCAGCGAATTCCGGTAAATGAACGGTCTTTTACTCTGAGACAGCAGACCGAGTCTGATCCGACCAGTCCTTGCTTTATCCCTTAACGCCAGGCAGGGTAACAACAAGTGCCATATTTTAACATCTTTTGATACGATGGGAATCGAACATCTCAAATTCTACTCTCTGACTATCAAGACGCTCTATCCGCTAGACCACGGCGATGTGCCACCTATTAATACTCGTTCAGAGCACTGACACATGGTAGTGTCAAGACCATCACATACATGTAGAGTTATCTGTCCTTTGACCCTAGTGCTGATACTCTATTGACTGACGCTCTATTGGAGTATTGCACTGAGGTTGTCTATGTATACAGACCTGTCAGTTTTCAGCATGTTCAGTGTCTTCTGTCTGAGGTCCTGTATAAAGCGCAGAGCACTCGCCATGGCCATCCTTTTGGCTGCCGACACGTCACTCATGCCTGCAACAGTTTACACATTTATTTGTCTGAAAACATAACAATATGAAAGAGTGCAGGATGTTCTAGGCCTGCCCAGAGGCTGATATTCAGCACAAATCTGCAGCAATCAGCAGCAGAATTCCCAAACTGGAACTAAATACCTTCCCAATTCATGTTATGTTCTTGTAGGGGCTTGTACTTCACTGATAACGTGGCCAATTGACACTTGTCAGAGGGGTACATAAAGTTTGTAATCAAGACTACCAGATGTCAGACTTTCATTTTTGTGGAAATCTCGGTGGCTGAGTGGGTTAGATTGCTGACTTTGTGTGCTGGGGATAAGTAGGCGCCTCACTCTGAGAGCGTGGGTTCGAGTCCCAGAGAATTTGTACTTTACAAAGAAAATGTTATCCAAAATATAAGATTTGTTACATGATTAGTTGTTGATTACTGCATTGAATGCTGAGAATACATTTCAAATACATCTGAATTAAAGAAAGGAAGATCTTTAAAAAGAGTGAGTGAGTGAGTTGGGTTTAATGCCACTTTTAACATTATTCCAGTTATATCACGGCATGTCAGCTTAATGTGGGAGTAAAGCCCGAAGTGATGCAGGTCTAAGCCGTTTACCACTTCGGTGAAACCCACGAGCATGGGTATGGTGCTGACAAACCTAGAAACATAATTGGGGCGAACCGGGATTTGAACCCAAAACCATAGGTTTCTGGCGTGCCCAAGCGACGCAACTCTGCACTGCGAATCGCGGCGCCTTAGACGACTGGGCCACTCGTGCCCCCCTCTTTAAAAAGAAATAATAATGAACAAATTAAGGATGTTATCCAAATTTGCCTGCCAAGTGCATATTGTTTGGAATTCTAGACAACACACTGTCTCGTTATTTACGCTGAACACAACATTGGCTGCATCAAGTCAGAGAGAGGAGAGGCGCAGGTCTCCAGATTGGCAAATTTGTGCTTCTGTTACTAGTCAAATTTCTTGTCACTGATTCCATGGCCATTACCCTTTGGGCCCAGCTTACTGAGGCAGTGTATCTCCCCTCATCACAGATGTCACTTACCCAGGAGGCGGAGGAGAGGGTGGATGGTCGTAGCGTTGATGAGCAGCGTCAGAAACACAACCCCAGCCACATGGATCAGCACCTGAAACACCACCACAATACTCACTGACCGGAGTATCACATACGGGATGGCATCACCTCAGTTATTACCGACAAACTAATCTCTCAGTGAAACAGTAAATCAGGATGTCCACTTCGCTATGGTAACTCAGGGAGCAGGCAGTGTAGATCTAGAGACTGACTGGCTATGATACTTCTGGCAAGTAAAAGTTACCGAAACCACACACTTTGAAAACATAATGCAGAAAAGAACAGGTCATAAATCTCTTAACCTTCCTCTAGAATGGGGGCGGTCGGGTAGCCTAGTGGTTAAAGCGTTCGCTCGTCACGCCGAAGACCCGGGTTCGATTCCCGACATGGGTACAATGTGTGAAGCCCATTTCTGGTGTCCCCCGCCGTGATATTTCTGGAATATAGCTAAAAGCGGCGTAAAACCAAACTCACTCACTCACTCCTGAAATTTACACAGCTGGATAGCTATGATAGGGAGCCCATGCAAAAGTGGAAACAAATTCAGTGTTATTTGTTTTATTTGGGTAAACTGTCCATGGCCAATGCTTGAAATATCTCTGACTGCATGAACGAATCACAGCATCAACTGCAGCATTCTAGGCGATATTGACACCATGATTCAGCTTGCCTTGCAATAAATCAATGTAAAACATGAGATGTTGCCTGATCTGCTCCACCCATCTTGTGTCTGACTGGTATCTGCTCCACCCACCTTGTGTCTGACTGGTATCCACCCACCTTGTGCCTGACTGGTATCTGCCCCACCCACCTTGTGTCTGACTGGCATCTGCTCCACCCACCTTGTGCCTGACTGGTATCTGCCCCACCCACCTTGTGTCTGACTGGTAGCTGCTCCACCCACCTTGTGTCTGACTGGTATCTGCTCCACCCATCTTGCATCTGACTGGTATCTGCCCCACCCACCTTGTGTCTGACTGGTAGCTGCTCCACCCACCTTGTGTCTGACTGGTATCTGCTCCACCCATCTTGCATCTGACTGGTATCTGCTCCACCCACCTTGTGTCTGACTGGTAGCTGCTCCACCCACCTTGTGTCTGACTGGTATCTGCTCCACCCATCTTGCATCTGACTGGTATCTGCTCCACCCACCTTGTGTCTGACTGGTATCCGTCCCACCCACCTTGTGCCTGACTGGTATCTGCTCCACCCATCTTGCATCTGACTGGTATCTGCTCCACCCACCTTGTGTCTGACTGGTATCTGCTCCACCCACCTTGTGCCTGACTGGTATCTGCTCCACCCACCTTGTGTCTGACTGGTATCCGTCCCACCCACCTTGTGCCTGACTGGTATCCGCCCCACCCATCTTGTGTCTGACTGGTATCTGCTCCACCCACCTTGTGTCTGACTGGTATCTGCTCCACCCATCTTGTGCCTGACTGGTATCTGCCCCACCCACCTTGTGTCTGAGTGATATCTGCCCCACCCACCTTGTGTCTGAGTGGTATCTGCCCCACCCACCTTGTGCCTGACTGGTATCTGCTCCACCCATCTTGTGCCTGACTGGTATCTGCCCCACCCACCTTGTGTCTGAGTGATATCTGCCCCACCCACCTTGTGTCTGAGTGGTATCTGCCCCACCCACCTTGTGCCTGACTGGTATCTGCCCCACCCACCTTGTGTCTGAGTGGTATCTGCTCCACCCACCTTGTGTCTGACTGGTATCTGCTCCACCCATCTTGTGCCTGACTGGTATCTGCCCCACCCACCTTGTGTCTGAGTGATATCTGCCCCACCCACCTTGTGTCTGAGTGATATCTGCTCCACCCACCTTGTGTCTGACTGGTATCTGCTCCACCCACCTTGTGCCTGACTGGTATCTGCTCCACCCACCTTGTGTCTGACTGGTATCTGCTCCACCCACCTTGTGTCTGACTGGTATCTGCTCCACCCATCTTGTGCCTGACTGGTATCTGCTCCACCCACCTTGTGCCTGACTGGTATCCGTCCCACCCACCTTGTGTCTGACTGGTATCTGCTCCACCCACCTTGTGTCTGACTGGTATCTGCTCCACCCACCTTGTGTCTGACTGGTATCTGCTCCACCCACCTTGTGCCTGACTGGTATCTGCTCCACCCATCTTGCATCTGACTGGTATCTGCTCCACCCACCTTGTGTCTGACTGGTATCCGTCCCACCCACCTTGTGCCTGACTGGTATCCGCCCCACCCATCTTGTGCCTGACTGGTATCTGCTCCACCCACCTTGTGCCTGACTGGTATCTGCTCCACCCACCTTGTGCCTGACTGGTATCTGCTCCACCCATCTTGCATCTGACTGGTATCTGCTCCACCCACCTTGTGTCTGACTGGTATCCGTCCCACCCACCTTGTGCCTGACTGGTATCCGCCCCACCCATCTTGTGTCTGACTGGTATCTGCTCCACCCACCTTGTGTCTGACTGGTATCTGCTCCACCCACCTTGTGCCTGACTGGTATCTGCTCCACCCACCTTGTGTCTGACTGGTATCTGCTCCACCCACCTTGTGTCTGACTGGTATCTGCTCCACCCACCTTGTGTCTGACTGGTATCCGTCCCACCCACCTTGTGTCTGACTGGTATCTGCTCCACCCACCTTGTGTCTGACTGGTATCTGCTCCACCCACCTTGTGCCTGACTGGTATCTGCTCCACCCATCTTGTGTCTGACTGGTATCTGCTCCACCCACCTTGTGCCTGACTGGTATCTGCTCCACCCACCTTGTGTCTGACTGGTATCTGCTCCACCCACCTTGTGTCTGACTGGTATCTGCTCCACCCACCTTGTGTCTGACTGGTATCTGCTCCACCCACCTTGTGTCTGACTGGTATCTGCTCCACCCACCTTGTGCCTGACTGGTATCTGCTCCACCCACCTTGTGTCTGACTGGTATCTGCTCCACCCACCTTGTGTCTGACTGGTATCTGCTCCACCCACCTTGTGCCTGACTGGTATCTGTCCCACCCACCTTGTGCCTGACTGGTATCTGTCCCACCCACCTTGTGCCTGACTGGTATCCGTCCCACCCACCTTGTGCCTGACTGGTATCTGTCCCACCCATCTTGTGCCTGACTGGTATCTGTCCCACCCACCTTGTGCCTGACTGGTATCCGTCCCACCCACCTTGTGCCTGACTGGTATCCGTCCCACCCACCTTGTGCCTGACTGGTATCCGTCCCACCCATCTTGTGCCTGACTGGTATCTGCCCAACCCACCTTGTGTCTGACTGGTATCTGTCCCACCCACCTTGTGTCTGACTGGTATCCGTCCCCACCACCCTGTGTCTGACTGGTATCTGCCCAACCCACCTTGTGTCTGACTGGTATCTGCCCAACCCACCTTGTGTCTGACTGGTATCTGTCCCACCCACCTTGTGTCTGACTGGTATCCGTCCCCACCACCCTGTGTCTGACTGGTATCTGCCCAACCCACCTTGTGTCTGACTGGTATCTGCCCCACCCACCTTGTGTCTGACTGGTATCCGTCCCCACCACCTTGTGCCTGACTGGTATCCGTCCCACCCACCTTGTGTCTGACTGGTATCCGTCCCCACCACCTTGTGTCTGACTGGTATCTGCCCCACCCACCTTGTGTCTGACTGGTATCCGTCCCACCCACCTTGTGTCTGACTGGTATCCGTCCCACCCACCTTGTGCCTGACTGGTATCTGTCCCCACCACCTTGTGTCTGACTGGTATCTGCCCCACCCACCTTGTGTCTGACTGGTATCCGTCCCACCCACCTTGTGTCTGACTGGTATCTGCCCAACCCACCTTGTGTCTGACTGGTATCTGCCCCACCCACCTTGTGTCTGACTGGTATCCGTCCCACCCACCTTGTGTCTGACTGGTATCCGTCCCACCCACCTTGTGTCTGACTGGTATCTGCCCAACCCACCTTGTGTCTGACTGGTATCTGCCCCACCCACCTTGTGTCTGACTGGTATCCGTCCCACCCACCTTGTGTCTGACTGGTATCTGCTCCACCCACCTTGTGTCTGACTGGTATCTGCCCCACCCACCTTGTGTCTGACTGGTATCTGCCCCACCCACCTTGTGTCTGACTGGTATCCGTCCCACCCACCTTGTGTCTGACTGGTATCTGCCCCACCCACCTTGTGTCTGACTGGTATCTGCCCCACCCACCTTGTGTCTGACTGGTATCCGTCCCACCCACCTTGTGCCTGACTGTGTCTTGATTCAACCTAGGGTCCTCCCACACCAGCAGAGCTAGGGTGAGTCCTATTGCCCCTCGCAGACCGCTCCACGTCAACACCAGCCCGTCCTGCCATGTCATCCCGTAACCAATGTGTTGCAGTAGAGGACACATCAGACCTATCACCAGACCTCTGTAATATACACACACATACACATCAACACCAGCCCGTCCTGCCATGTCATCCTGTAACCGATGTGTTGCAGTAGAGGACACATCAGACCTATCACCAGACCTCTGTAATATACACACACATACACGTCAACACCAGCCCATCCTGCCATGTCATCCCGTAACCAATGTGTTGCAGTAGAGGACACATCAGACCTATCACCAGACCTCTGTAATATACACACACATACACATCAACACAAGCCCGTCCTGCCATGTCATCCTGTAACCGATGTGTTGCAGTAGAGGACACATCAGACCTATCACCAGACCTCTGTAATATACACACACATACACATCAACACAAGCCCGTCCTGCCATGTCATCCTGTAACCGATGTGTTGCAGTAGAGGACACATCAGACCTATCACCAGACCTCTGTAATATACACACACATACACGTCAACACCAGCCCGTCCTGCCATGTCATCCCGTAACCAATGTGTTGCAGTAGAGGACACATCAGACCTATCACCAGACCTCTGTAATATACACACACATACACGTCAACACCAGCCCGTCCTGCCATGTCATCCTGTAACCGATGTGTTGCAGTAGAGGACACATCAGACCTATCACCAGACCTCTGTAATATACACACACATACACATCAACACAAGCCCGTCCTGCCATGTCATCCTGTAACCGATGTGTTGCAGTAGAGGACACATCAGACCTATCACCAGACCTCTGTAATATACACACACATACACGTCAACACCAGCCCGTCCTGCCATGTCATCCTGTAACCGATGTGTTGCAGTAGAGGACACATCAGACCTATCACCAGACCTCTGTAATATACACACACATACACGTCAACACAAGCCCGTCCTGCCATGTCATCCTGTAACCGATGTGTTGCAGTAGAGGACACATCAGACCTATCACCAGACCTCTGTAATATACACACACATACACATCAACACAAGCCCGTCCTGCCATGTCATCCTGTAACCGATGTGTTGCAGTAGAGGACACATCAGACCTATCACCAGACCTCTGTAATATACACACACATACACGTCAACACCAGCCAGTCCTGCCATGTCATCCTGTAACCGATGTGTTGCAGTAGAGGACACATCAGACCTATCACCAGACCTCTGTAATATACACACACATACACGTCAACACCAGCCCATCCTGCCACGTCATCCTGTAACCGATGTGTTGCAGTAGAGGACACATCAGACCTATCACCAGACCTCTGTAATATACACACACATACACGTCAACACCAGCCCGTCCTGCCATGTCATCCTGTAACCGATGTGTTGCAGTAGAGGACACATCAGACCTATCACCAGACCTCTGTAATATACACACACATACACGTCAACACCAGCCAGTCCTGCCATGTCATCCTGTAACCGATGTGTTGCAGTAGAGGACACATCAGACCTATCACCAGACCTCTGTAATATACACACACATACACGTCAACACCAGCCCGTCCTGCCATGTCATCCTGTAACCGATGTGTTGCAGTAGAGGACACATCAGACCTATCACCAGACCTCTGTAATATACACACACATACACATCAACACAAGCCCGTCCTGCCATGTCATCCTGTAACCGATGTGTTGCAGTAGAGGACACATCAGACCTATCACCAGACCTCTGTAATATACACACACATACACGTCAACACCAGCCCGTCCTGCCATGTCATCCCGTAACCGATGTGTTGCATATTAAATGGCCCGTAATGTCAAAGTATATGATTGCCAGGAAAAGGTCACCATTTTTGTTACTGTATCAAACATTATGCAATCCTATTCCCATTTGGATGATAACTAAGGTTCATGAGACACTAGCTGGTGCATGCTTAGTGCAGTGCTACTGGACACTGGTCTGGCCTGATCAGCTTCAGTTGGTATCGGATTATGACTTCAAAACAAGCATTTTCCCCACTATTTTGTTGCAGCCACAACACTTTTAATTCCTAGTATTGTCATATGGCAGTGTATTTTACTGTGTTACATTGATTCTGTTGAGATTTGGTAGATGCTCATTGCATTGTATTTCGGCAGTGATTAGTCGTCAGGAATGTAGTGCCATTTAGTCAAAGCAGTCGTCAAGAAGTTACTATATTTAGATGCTAGTGTGGTGTGTAATTTACCTCCAGAAATGGCGAGACTGATCCAACATTGTATAGAGCCATACAGCATTGTCTGGAAAGTTCGGGAAGCTGGTTAGACTGCATATATAATGGGACAAGAGTGAGCCTGCCTCATCTCTCGCACACATTTCGTCTTGCACGCATTTCATCACTTTGGAACCAGCTAGCACATGAGGATCCCTCATTATCCCTGATTCCCTGCCAAGGCCCATCTCGGAAGCCTGACCACTGTCTCCGCTGGGTGAATAAACATTATTGTCACTGACTTTTGCCATCACCACTGTATTTTTGTATTTTATTTATTTGATTTTCATATTATTTCAAATACCACTGAATATTGTACCACCAGTCTATTGTTTACTGCCACTGTAAGTGCTGCGCAGTAATTTGTACTGACTTGTAAACTTAGTGAATTTTGTAATACATTTGTTGATTGTATACCATTTGTTGGTTTCACACTAGGTTCTTTTACGTACAGATTTCTGGATTAATATATTGTTTCAATTTGGGAATCCACACATAACAGTATCTATCATAGCGACCAATTTGAGACAACCTTTGTCTGAATTAACATTTAATTCCAAAGGCTAATTACCCTGTAGCCATAACATGCCTACAATCACTTAACTGTGATTACTTCTAAGATGCTTATCCCAATTGCTAATCCCCATTGTACTGTACATGGAATGTCAGCTGTCATTCTTGTTGTAACTGTTGCTTATATTAATGACGTAATCTGTGTCAGATGGCTTTGGATATATAAGCCGCCTCCGTGGTCTAGTGGTAGAGCGTTCGCCTGGAGAGCGGAAGGTCCGGGGTTCGATCCCCGGCCGTGTCATACCAAAAGACGTTAAAAGATGGTACTTGTTGTTGTGGGTGTGGGGTAGCACTCTGGTGCTTTGTGGCGGGGTTCTTGTGGGCTACACTGCTAGTAACAAATTAACTTGCTTCCAAATTAATACTCGTGCTTAAGGCTACCTGCTTTTCAGCGGGAACCTTTCCGGGGTTACCTGCTTCTCAGTGGGAACCTCGTCTTTCCTGACTTTTCAGCCGGGGAATCGTAAAATAACATACGTTGGGGCAAACAATTGCCATGTATATAGGCCCGGCGGCGGAAGTCGTCTTGTCAAGCGGTAGCTGACAGTTGGGTCCACGGCGGTAGTCGCACAATGGTTTTGCTAATGGGGCCAGGCAGTGGGATCTGCTTTGGCCGGCTACCTGGGGCTGGGCAGCAGTAGTCTGACTTAGGCCAGCAGCGGGGAGCTGCTTTTGGCAGCGTGGGAGTTGCCAAGCAATGGTAGCGTTTAAATATGCTACCGTGGGGGCTGAACAGCGGTAGCAGTCTCAGGCCAGCAGCGCTAGCTGCCAATTGCCGTTGGCCACGGTAGCATTTTGGTATACACAATTAGCAGCTAAGTAGCCCACTAGTCCCTGCACACCCTCGGCCATTTAACCCAATCTCATCTTCTGTTTTTATTATAGGCACGGGCATTCACGGCTCAGTGGCCCGTGCCTCTCCTTGGCATATCGCGGGATAAAGATTTCTTGATTAATATATTGTTTCAATTTGGGAACCACACATAACAGTATCTATCATAGCGACCAATTTGAGACAACCTTTGTCTGAATTAACATTTAATTCCAAAGGCTAATTACCCTGTAGCCATAACATGCCTACAATCACTTAACTGCCATTACTTCTAAGATGCTTATCCCAATTGCTAATCCCCATTGTACTGTACATGGAATGTCAGCTGTCATTCTTGTTGTTACTGTTGCTTATATTAATGACGTAATCTGTGTCAGATGGCTTTGGATATATAAGCCTTGGTTCAGAGAAGAGAGAATACCATACCACACAACCAGTTATATCCACACAATCTTACCGACTCCCTAACAACCAATCTATATTCACGGCCGAACTTATGGGCATGGCCTCAGCCCTGCATAACCAACAATCTAAAAACAACAATAAAACCCTAATTCTCACCGACTCCCTTAGTGGACTACAAGCCCTCCAAAACAAAAATACCAAAAAACGACCTAAATTAATAAACCAAATACTTAAAAGCTCCAACGACCTAATAAAAGCAGGCAAACAAATAACCTTCTTGTGGATCCCCGCCCACGTAGGAATTTACGGCAATGAAAGGGCCGATAAAGCAGCTAAATTATCTCTCAAAATACCAGAAATAAGCCAAAACCTACCCATCTCAAAATCAGAAATTAAAAGTGTAAACAAACAAAAAATAACCAAGAAATGGCATAATCAATATCAAAACTCAAATAGCCAAATCAAAAATGTGCTCAGAAAACCACTAGCCAAACCTAAAATCCTACACCCCTCAAAAAAAATTGACAGATTAATTACAAAACTCCAAACAGGACACACGAACCTAAATAACCACCTAAAAAAACTTAAAAGACACACCACAGGCAACTGCCCCCACTGCAAACAACCCGAAACCACAGAACACGCACTCATCCACTGCACCCACTACCAAACACACAGAACCACACTACAAACCACCCTCAATCTAAATAAGGTTCCTACTCTAGATGAAATACTAAACCCTCAAAATAAACTAGAAAACTTCAAGGCCCTAGGCGTATTCCTAATCAAAACAGACCTAATTAAGCGCATCTAAAAACTAATTAATCTACCAATCCAAAATCCAATAAATATACAAACACCCACCTCACCCGGCTCCCTTAGTTCCCTCCTCCACCCACCTCGGCATTTATTCCAAATTTAAAAATTCCCAAAATTCAATATAATTAAGCAACCCCTAAAAGCCCCCTCTTTGGTTGCACACACCACTTTCACCCTTTTCGGAATACACTAAATGGTCCGGTCAGGCCCGTGTGCGAAATACACTACAATCGGAAAGTGCACGTTAAATCTTCTATATCAGTCAGTCAGTCAGAAGAGAGAATAGGAAGGCCTCACCCTTGGCCTAGCTTTGGCTCGGTGAGGTGAGGTGCTCCAGAGCAACACCAACACAACAACCACGATGTACTGACCTGACACACGGTGACAACTTGTATAAAGTAAACTTGTCTATACCGCAAGCCATCGACTCAATGTTGTCACTTCCTACCGAGATCCAGACACACCCCCTTTGCATACGGGAATATGCAGATAATCTCATCAATGTCACGTGGGACTGTAATGCATGCTCATTGCCCGTTGTTATATCACCTGCAGTTTATTCATTGTGGAGCACAACTAATTCTTTAAATATTTACCCATACAACCCAGATAATGGTCACTCCTTGTAATAAACAATGTATAAGCATTCATCAAAAGAAGGAGACAAAAGGTTTGGTGATGATAGAATGTATTTACACTTCTTTCCTGTCTGAAAGAACCTGAACATACAATCAATAAACAGATCTCATCAGCCTTTAATGGACTTCAAACGTCAATCAAAGGAAAATGTCAGACTGTCTGGCAAATATCAAACCGATTTCAGGTCAAGATAGGATCCTGTGTATTGTATTTCTGTGATTGTTGTAGAATACATCCTTTGTCTCTTTATTACAGTGAATACCCAGCAACGTGATGTGAAAAGGCAGTCAAAATAGTCATGTGACCACAGAAAATGTGTGTGTGTGTGTGTGTTGTGTGCGTGTGTGCGTGCGTGCGTGCGTGCGTGCGTGCGTGCGTGCGTGCGTGCGTGCATAAGAGTTCGCATGCGTGCATGTTTTCTCATAGCGGGAAAGGGATGCTACACATGATACGCATGGGCCTAGGTCCTGCCCTGGAGTCACACACCACATGACGGGGAGTCACACAGCATTAACACACCAAGCAAAGAGAAGCGAAAGGACATATTTGGAAGCTGTTCTGGGGTTCAGATCATTTCATATTCTGGACCACTGACTCACTGTCATCCAAAATGTCAAAAAGATATTTTTCAATTTGGTAATGATATAGAAGTATGTCCAATTAATAGTTTATAAAATTACGACAAAGTCTTATTGCTATGTGTCCCTAGAAGAATTACTGCTTTAGGGTCATATCAAGGTCACAGGTCCCCTCATCTGTGGTGTGTGCCTACAGTGTGATGCTGTGTAGGTTGTTTACCTGATGACGTTGAGGCCGAAGTAGAGAGCGAACATGAAGAACCAGTCAGTGCCGTGTATCTTGTAGATGACCTTCTCCGAGATGATCACACCCACCAGGATGAAGATCAGAGTGTTGGCCAAATAGGCCAGAGTCTCCCAGAACCTAAGATAGAGATGGTAAGTAGCAGTAGAAACTAACAGTTTTAGTCCACTAGTCCATATGATAATATATAGCAAAACCCTTAAAAATGGCATATTTCTACTAGTCCTTAGGATACCTTAACTATTGGGCAATTTGACAAGGACTATAGGACTAGTGCAAATTTCTAACGCTGAGTGAGTGAGTGAGTAAGAACATGTTATCTTATCCCCTAGTCAGCAATATTCCAGCAAAGACTCCTGTAATAATAAGTCTAGACAAGTCTGGACCAGGCAAACCAGTGGTTGATAGCAAGAGCATTCCAAAACCTGAAATTATTTACAGAGTGAGTGCATGTGTTAATGTTGTCTTATCCTTAGTCAGCAGTATTCCAGCAGGCAGCCTGTAGATAAGTCTGGATCAGTCAAACCAAAGGTTGACAGCCCGTGTGAGGTGGGCTGTATTTTCAAGTACTAATTATTTTGTTCATATATGGAGTTTGGTAGCACAGAATAACTTCATGACAGACATATACTTTGTTGTTTAAACCACAGTCAGCAGTACTGCAGCTACATCATGGTGTCCAGTCATTAACAGAGTCTGGACCAGACAAACCAGTAGTGGACATGATGTCCAATGTCCCCCACAATGTATACAGTCACATCAACAGCAGCCCAAAGGCAGGTTCAAGTCTGGAACATAATAGGAACAAGTCCTTCCTTCACCCCTCCTCAAACCTATCTCAAAGTGAGATATTTATACTGACATTTCTAGTGCACTAGTCCTTATCATGATGACATATAGTCAAACCCTTAAAATTGGCAACTTTCCACTAGTCCTTATCATGATGACATATAGTCAAACCCTTAAAAATGGCAACTTTCCACTAGTCCTATTGGGAAGTTTCTCAAGAACTATATAATAGGAAGAATGCCAATTTCTAATGCTGTACTGTTATAGCCAGAAGCAGCATGATGAAATTAATCTAGTTCCCTCATGATTTTATTGTTTGTATATCTATCACAGAAAGTGTCAGATACCCTTGCATGTCAGTGTTTAAGGCAACAAACAACAAAAATTGCTAAGGCAGCCAATTACATGTCATGTAATCTTTTCAATTTACTTATACACACCTCGTTGTTTGATCTAACATATGAATGTACGACTGGTGTCACTGCATCAACTAAAATAAATAAAACTCAGTTACAGGGTCTGGCCACCCGATCTGATGTAGGTGGCCTTAAAGATGAAAAGGCTGGGACCTATTGTGACCCAGGTTCCTGCGGGTTATTGACGAACACACTTACCGATGTAAGAAAGTTTCCACCTCGGGGCTGATACTGGTTCTCTTGCTGCTCATCACAACTCCCAACACCACTACAGCCAAAACTCCAGACACACCGAGGAACTCCTCACCTACATACAGACCAACATGGCATACCACTCAACTTCATCTACGGCAATATTGATGTGTGTATTTTTAACTCTATATTGTTGGTTTGTTGTTTAACGCCACACTCCTACATTCCTCTTTGGCAACAAGCTGCTCAGTGGTTTATCTTCTAAAAGACGGTGGTCTGTATATAATTGAGTCTAGACCAGACAATCCAGTGGTTGATGTCATGAGCATCGTTCCAGACAATTGGGATACGTTGCGATGCATCAACCAAGTCAGCAAGCCTGACCACCCGATCCTGCTAGTCGCCTTTTACGACAAACATGGGTTGCTGAAGACCTATTCTACTCTGGATGTTCAGGTGTGTTAACTCTTCAAGTAGGTTAGACCTACTCCTGAACCTGATCATGTTTCCCAAATTTGCAAGAGTACATACTGCGTCCTCATCCACAAATGACAACATTTTATTTAACACGAAGAGTGAGTGAGTGAGTTTAAGGCTGCTTGGCAACTTATGTAAAACCCAGGAGCATGGGTATGGTGTCGGCAAACCTAGAAACATGATCGGGGTAAATCGCGATTTAAACAAGAAGACCTTCATTTTTCAGCACAACTCACCAACGTAGAATGTGATGTAGGTTGCTGCAAGTGTAATGGTGATCTCGGCCAGAGCATCATTGAAGATCCGAGACAGCCAGAACAGGGTGAGTTTGGCCATGAGTAAGCCGAACGCTGGACCTCCCAGTGCCACTTGCAGAAAGGACAGGACTATCTGCCCACCTGCAGACAGAAACAACACACAGCTTCAAACTCATGGCAGTAAGTTCAGGGAAAGACACCCGTCATCTGTCAAACTGACGACCAGTACTAGATACAAGGGAAACGTAGGGACATGTTGGGAGAAATAGGGAATGCTGGGAAATAGAAGCGAAATTAGAGTACAGGGGAACATAGAGAAATTTGGGGGAATATAGAAAATATAGGGGACACCATCTTTACATAGATGGCTTTTGGGGTTGGCCCTCACAGTTGCAGATACTTGATGACATTGCGGTAGCCAATTATGTGTGCGACATACGCTTGCAGTCGGAAAGTTAAATCTCCAATATAAGTAAGTAAGTAAGCCAATTATGTCTATTTTCATCAACAGGGAATACATCATTTTGATGCCTGCAGATGTATGCTGCCTGGTTGTGAATTTGGTTTAAATGCAGCCTGCAATCAAAAATAGTGTATATATGCAAACTGTTAACCGGTACTTATAATACATCCTTCATAGTTTGGCTCAGAATATTTCAAACACCCCTCGTATCCCTGGGCAGCCAATACCAAATAAACGGAAGTCGTAAGTACCGGATGGACACCAAAATTAATCTAAATATTATTGAATCAAAGATTGATTAAAATGAATAAATAGATTACGAAGATTACAAACCTGAGTCGAGATATACAACTAAACCCTTTATATAACCGAAAGTGTAACAACACGATTAACTTGTGTAATTCAATACAAACTTGTTGATTTTCTATTCTGATGACAGATCATGACGAGACATAGTTTTCGGTTGGGGGTCCGGCTTATCTACCGCACATAACATGTTGACACAGATTTCAAGGACCAAGTTAAAACCTCGGCTTATCTATGAGATCGGCTTATCTTCATTCATATACGTAGTATTTGAAAAATATTGTTCATGCGTTCTCAAATCTAAATTTTCTGGAAACTTGAGTAAATCTAAATTGCTACAGTAACCTTTCAATCTTCATTTATAATTAACAAGTCTCACTGCTGGTGGCATACAGACAATTACAGAGTATTAAGCAAGAACTGGAAAAACTGATTGCATAAACTAACTAAAGCACCATGCATTTCACATGGTGCTCAATAGTCGAGACAATATCAGCTGTATTTCCCCTGATCTCTGTAAAACAAGTAAATGAGAATGTTTGGGAAGTATAATAAAGGTAAATCTGTCACTCCATCACAGGCCTATTTCCATCTTTACCCGGGAGTATTGAGAACAGTAAATACTTTTACCGTTACTAGGTGTGGTTGATGTAGCCAGGTTGAGGAATACTTTGAAAAGGACGATGGCAGCGCCATCATTCAGAAGAGACTCCCCTTCGGTCACCATGGCCAGCTTCTTGGAGGCACCTGCAGTGAGTGAGTGAGTGAGACTGGTGAGTGAGTGAGTGAGTGAGGGGGTGAGTGGACGGCTTGGTGAGTTGAGTGACTGAGGGGGTGAGTGGGTGGGAGAGTGAGCAAGTGAGTGAGGGGGTGGGAGAGTGAGCAAGTGAGTGAGGGGGTGGGTGAGTGAGTGAGTGAGTGAAGGAAGTGGGTGGATGGGTGGTTGAGTGAGTGAGTGAGTGGTTGAGTGAGTGAGTTAGTGAGTGTTGGGTGAGTGAGTGAGTGAGGGGGTGAGTGGACGACTTTGTGAGTTGATTGAGTGAGGGGGTGAGTGGATGGGAGAGTGAGTGCGTGAGTGAGGGGGTGAGTGGTTGAGTGAGTGCGTGAGTGAGTGTTGAGTGGTTGAGTGAGTGAGTGAGTGAGTGTTGGGTGGGTGGGTGAGTGAGGGGGTGAGTGGACAGCTTGGTGAGTTGATTGAGTGAGGGGGTGAGTGGATGGGAGAGTGAGTAAGTGAGTGAGGGGGTGGGTGAGTGAGTGAGTGTTGAGTGAGTGAGTGAGTGAGTGAAGGAAGTGGGTGGATGGGAGAGTGAGTAAGTGAGTGAGTGGTTGAGTGAGTGAGTGAGTGAGTGTTGAGTGAGTGAGTGAAGGAAGTGGGTGGATGGGAGAGTGAGTAAGTGAGTGAGTGAGTGAGTTAGTGAGTGTTGGGTGAGTGAGTGAGTGTGTGAGTGAGTGAGTGAGGGGTGAGTGGACTACTTGGTGAGTTGATTGAGTGAGGGGGTGAGTGGATGGGAGAGTGAGTAAGTGAGTGAGGGGGTGAGTGGTTGAGTGAGTGGTTGAGTGAGTGTTGGGTGAGTGAGTGAGTGTTGGGTGAGTGAGACTTCAGATTCATCCTGTTTTTTCTTGGTTTGTCAGCACCATACCTTTGCAGTTGTAAGCATCTAAGACCTACATTATTATACAGCTTTCATCACACATTAAGCTTAGATGATAGTTATATAACTGATAAAGCGGTGTTAAACCCACTCACTCACTCACTCACTCACTCACAATGACATGGAGCCCGGAGGAACATGTACATCAAGTGAATCAGGTACATAATGCTGCAGTCATAATCAATCAATATAGGGATTATTGGGTTTTGTGAGATCAGTGAGTGGCTGAAGGAGACTGTGATGAGTGAGTGAGTTAGATCAGTTCTTTTAGCAGCACTTTCATTTACATCAGCATCTTACTGCAATGTAGGAGGATTACCCGAAACTGTAGTTTGTTACTTCTGGAAAACCAATGAGCATGGATAAGGTGCTGACAATATGTTATCTAATAGGACATGGCCATGGTACTGACAATATTAAAACCATACTCTCTAATCATGTGTTCCATAACACAGAAATGTGACACAATTAGAATATAACTAATTATGTTAATATCAGACATGTTATTATTTGAAAGAGATAAGGAGGGGTTATTTGTATTACTTGTTTGAAAGATTTATTTGTTTGATTGTTGTTTAATGCCGCACTCAGCAATATTTCAGCTATATGATGGCGGTCTGTACATAATTGAGTCTGGACCAGACAGTCCAGTGATTGACATCATGAGCATTGATCTATACAATTGGGATACGATGACATCCATGAACCAAGTCAGTGAGCCTGACCACTAGGGCTGCAACGAATACACTATGAGGCGAATGCGATTCGTATCCCGAATATAGAGTAACGAATACGAATATTAATTCACAAATACAATAACAAGTCAGCAGTTGATGTATTATTTGTTATATTCAGTGAAACAAAAGCAACACAAATTATTTGACATGGTTTGTTAATTATTAACATATTATACATTCATATACTGCACACAAATGCAACAATGACCAGTGACCACATTACTGTCAAATGAAATGTTATAAGAGTGTTGTCTTTCACGAAATCTATGAATATAATATGTTCTTATAGATATTTTTAGATACAGGGTATGTAAATGAACATGACTGCATATTCATGAATATTCAATTCTATTGGTCACGAATAACGAATTCAATTCATGAATGGATACGGTTCGATTCACCAAATACGCGAGTGAATCATAACAGCCCTACTGACCACCTAATGCCGTTAGCCGCCTTTTACGACACACATGGATTGCTGAAGACCTATTCTACCCCGATCTTCACGGGTAAGTTTGAAAGAAAGAAACATGACTAAATTAAATTCAGATGGAAGCGTGTGTCTTCGGAACAGTGTTAAACTGAATGACCTATTCCTACTGGCCTTATGAATCCTTCAAGAAACCTACAAACCAATGTCTCGGAGAATGGCTACGACTGCGATAGGGTCTGTTGCGCTGAGGATGGAGCCAAACATCATTCCGATGTTCCAGTCCCAGCCGTAGGTGAATAGGTACAGCGCCAAGATGCAGGTCAACAGGGCCATCAGGGCTGCAGGGCAACCAGGGCAGAGGGTTACATTGAAAACACAAGGTCTTTGCACTTACCATAATGTTAAAGTTTTAGGGTCCCTACAATAGCAACAAACCTGATTGACCCAAGAATGCTCTTTGATTATACTATACACTGTGTCTACAATGAGAAGCCACAATCACAGACTACATAAAATAAGGTCAACAATGTTCATTGTGACACACAAGGGACAACATGATCTATTGCATACACTATTTATGAATCTTTCTCCTTGTTAATGTTATGAAATCGATAGTATACTTATAAATAGACTTATATTGATTTCGTTTATACTCTGGTATATGAACTTCAAATGTCATGTGACACATATTGTTGCTCAATATTACTGATGATACAATGAAGCATACAAAATTTGGGTCAAATAATATGCTAAAAGTTTGTATAAGTAAAACTGTAACACATTTGTGATAATCCCATTAAAGAGTAATCAAAGTATGATGTTGTGATTTTACATTTGTGGATGGTAAGAATTTGTCTGTAAACTACGGAACATTACATCATCTTTTTCCCTTATTTCGGGTTGTCCAGAATGTATGAAAAGCAAATTTAAAGAAAAAAAGGAAAGTACATATATATTTATTCCTGACAATTTGTCTGCAAAGTAGATGAATTATGTAAATGTCGGTGTACTCACCAAGCCCTGGCACTGCCAACAGCAGCACTTGGAAGAAACATTTCTTGAATGTGTGCACCTCCATGGCGAAGGCCGACTCAAAGATAAGCACAGGCAGAAAGACGAAGAGAATGACATGGGGGTTTGTATCCACAATGGCCACATAGCGTTGCAAAACGGGAACCTTTTTGGACACAAGGCCAAACAACATGCCCAACAGTAACAGCACCACGGTGTATGGAAGAGCAATCTTTATGCTCCGTATAATCTGACGAACAAGTGCTGTTGTGAGAAAGAAATGTTTTTTGTTATTATGGTTTTTTTATGAGCTCTTAAAGGGGAAGTGTACACGCAAAAGTTACTTTCTTTCTTTTTCTAAACAAAACGCAAGTTTAGAATTAGTTAGTATCTGTGTTTGAAAATATACACTCATTTTTTCACAGTGAAAGTAGGAAGCTCACAATAGTGTGAAAATGATATGCCGTTATGAGGCCTTCGTTTTTCGAGCTAAACAGGCCTGAGTTATCCCCCTTAGATTATGACGTAATTGGTGCCAATTCAACTGGGTCCCTGTCTATTCTCAACGCAAAAGATATCAAGTACCAGTTTGCGGTAAAACAACGTGGCCTACGACACACTCCGGCGCAGTGGTGACTCAGCATAACACTATGCTAGCTGGCATCTGAGATGCAAGAATCACACAACTGTACCTACACCACGTGAAGCGGCTCTAACAAAGCATGATGACGTCATAATGTTTATCAATTGGCACCAATGACGTCATATTGCAAGGGGCATAAGCCATGGTGTTTTTGTTATGGAAATAGAACACTTGGTAAATGTGAAAAATATAAATAGCTTTAATGCGAAAATTATGTTGATTAATTGTGATATTTTTATATTTTTGTCTATGACACTTCTAGGTTAACACTTTTAATGAGGAAAAAGTACAAGAAATATAGGTTCATTTCCGTGTGAACTTGCCCTTTAAGGTTTCCTCCTATAGTATCTAATTGTTTATCTAGGGACACTTCAAATTAAGTGACTGTTAACATTAGGGCTATGACCCCTTCACTCTCAGTGAGTGAGTTAATGCTGCTTTAAACAGTATTTCAGTTTTTTTCACTCATGTTTGGTTCAAGTCGGATGAAATCCCAAAGAGATGCAGGGCTTAGATGTTTACAGAGCACACAAATTGATGACATTTTTAAAATTAATCACTTCTTACAACGAGCATGAAGTGCTGGGAACCATTCTAAGCCAGGTCTCCATGGTGACACACAAGCATTCAGGCATCCAGGTCCCATACACCCAATTCTCAGTCCTGTCTCAACACAATACTGTGCTGGAATCACCAAAGATTTAAGAATCAGAAACCTTCTGGAAAGGAGTGATATTTTTTCCTGCAGCAGTCATAATAACTGTATCACTGTATCCTGTAAATATGGGACCTGTGAAGATCCGGGGTTGAATAGGTCTTCAGCAACCCATGCTTGCCATAAAAGGCGACTATGCTTGTCGTGAGAGGCAACTAACGGGATCGGGTGGTCAGGCTCGCTGACTTGGTTTGATGCATCCCATCGATCCCAATTGCCTGAATCGATGCTCATGATGCCAATCACTGGATTATCTGGTCCAGACTCAATTATTTACAGACCACCATCATATAGCTGGAATATTGCTAGGTGCGGGGTTAAACAACAAACAAACAATTCAAAACAAATGTAAATATGGAACAAGCATGGGGGAATGAGGCACTGACTGCCGCTTCATGTCCACAGCAGTTCATAGTCTGACAGAACTACAGGTCTAGTGGCATGAGCCCACAACACAGTTTCGTTTTGGCATCAGCCTAATGTAGGCCCAGTGTTAAGTTCTTTGGATCAAATGATTATCAAACTTCTAAAATATAACTTTCAACAGAGACCATTAAATAGATCGTCTTTGCTTTCAGTAATTTTACATTTTACATGAAGATCACAGTGCAAATGGTAAAATCATAAGATCAAACAAAAATGCCTACTAGGGCCCCTACCATATTTAATTGTTGCAATAGCATGAATACTCAGAATAGTAGATCTTACCTCCAAGTGCACAACTGGCAAAAATAAAAAGTATAACGTCTGCGCGTCCACCGTTGTCAAAATTGGCCCCGTGGTCCGTAACATTGGCCACTGGGTCGCTATTGTTGTCGCTGGAAACATTCATGGCCCATTCCTGCAAAATTAGAATCCCACAGACAAATCAATTGAATGCGACGTTCAGTCGCCATTTGTTTCATAACCGGAAGTGCATACGTGACGTAATAAGATTACACGATGACGTCAGAAGAGTTTCACGTGGAACAACGTAGCTGTGTTTGATACTCACTTGACAAGAGCAAGAGATTGAAATTGTTCACCAAATTGTTAATGTTTACAGTAGTTTCAAGTTAATATAGTCGGGAAATAAGTATCTTCAAAATATATAAGTTGGTTATCTGAACCAAGTTGATGAGTTAGTTGTGTGTTATACGTACTCCTCCTTGAACAGTATTCCGGTATAATATCACTTCACTCTGGGCCTACACCTGCATTACTTTGAGGAAAGTTAGACATTTTGGAAAAGTTTTTCATATGTAAATCGACACTTTTAATGTCCTAGGTGAAGCAAATTTATTCAATATTATTAAAAAATATATAATTTTCTTATAATCGGACTAAGTGTCTGTCACCTATGCTATTATTTAGTGAGTCGGGTTCGGACAGTAGCATTATCACTCGGGCGATCTGGGATTCGAACCCCTGGCCAGTTGATGACGTCGCTTTAGGCGACAGAACCACCCAAGTCCTATTGATAAGGAAAATCCGTTAAAGAAATAACTAAAAAGGTTGCATGCCTTCTACAAGACGCGATTCTGAAGGGAGTGTACCACTGATGTAAACCCACATCACGTATTTGCCCACATTAGGGAAACACGGCCCGGGGCAACGCTTTACAACAAGTCTTCAAAGAAATAGCTCTTGGACAAAAAACTTCACCTTTCTGTACTTGTTTACTGTTTTACTTGCGTAACCCATGGTAACATTGCAACGCCTTCCAGTCCATGGACTGGTCGGTCCACCAGGCGGTGCAAACTACAGATACTCCTACACTGTGTGGTAGCTCTGAAGCTTCATCAAATAAGTTAGCACGACCGGTTGTGAATATATTACTGGAATAAGGAAACTGACCCCAACAACTAGTCAAATACTATTCGTTGATAGTATAAAAAATATTTAAAACGCCTCTTACTTACGTTAAGCATGGTCCATAGGTTACTGAAGAACTGTTCTAACCCGGATCTTCGCGGGTCCTTTAGAAATGAGCTCGGAACACAGGAAAGACCTTACAAAAGTTGAGTATGTGTTTGTTGTGTGTCCACATGGTTGTTAATATTTCAGTGTCGCAGCCAGATTGTCGGAAAAAAACCCAGTGGGAATGTATTTAAAGCGTCAGGTAACCTGCATAAACCTTCATTCCCGTCGCCCAATATGACGGGTACACCTGTTTTGACGGCTTTATCCCGAATAATGAGTTCCAAACCTCGCCAGAGGCGTGTTTAGCGGGTTCCAGTCGGGGGCAGATTTTGAAAACTTTAGGAGGTGATGTGAAACGGGGTCACCCGCGGAGTTCAAGATGTGAGAATGGGGTGAGACGGAGGCGGTCGCGGAGTTCAAGACAACTGCATGCACTAATATAGCGTGTGTCTGTTTGTACTAGTCCGATCTAATGCAGGTACTATAGTGCTAGTCCACTGAGATACCATGCCACAGTTTAACAAGGATACCTCACTTAGACACAATATACCGAGTCTGATCCGACCAGTCTTTGCTTTATCCCTTAACGCCAGCTAGGCAGGGTAACAACAAGTGCCATCTTTTAAAGTCGGGTTTTATAGTGGTAGCCCACAGGGATACCATGCTGCAGTTTAAAATGAACACACCACTCGGGCACAAGACTCCCAGCCGACCAGTCCTTGTTTTGGCGCCTTCATACCGAGCGCCAGGCAGGGTAACAACAAGTACCATCTTTTAAAGTCGTTTGGTATGACGAGGCCGAGGATCGAGCAGACACTATCCAGTAAGCCGCGGAGGCTGTCCTCAACGTTATGACAACATGACTACAAGTCCGTGTGGCTCCAAATGAGAACAGAGAACTTGCAAAATAACTCAAAATCGGAAATATTCTATCAAATGTCAATACTGTTCACGGCAATGAATACGCTGTACCCAACAATATCAATGTTTGTTATCTATATTCCCATCACTGGAAAAATGTTGTTTAAGAAACTATATCATGTTTTTATGTGTACTAGTTGACATCTTGAACAGAGGGGGCACAACGTTAGGGGGAACAGCGCAAACACGTACTGCACGTGCTACATATGGTATACGTCGTTGTTGACCGACGAGATGCTCTACTCAGCTGATGTGAAACAGCTGATTTTTAAGGCGTATTATTTCTTTCAATGTGAAGCAGAAGAGAGGAAACCATTTTATACCATTACTAAATACTTGAAAGGAACTTCTAAAGATCTTGGTGTGCCCCCTAACAAGCTGGAAAATGTTGTCCGTCGACTGGACAAGTCGAGGTGGGGAACATATCAAAATCACGTAGTGTTGATAAATTAGACTGTTTTCAGAAAAATAAGTCAGCTAAACTGTATTCAGAAAATAAGTACATGTCTCTAATACCCCGTTCACGCGCGCCTCTATACACATGTGTGCATATTTGCATGCGTGTGTAGAAATACATACGCGAGTATACTTGTCATGTTTACTCATGTGTGTATATTTACACCCGGAACAAATGTTCATCATGTCTGGAGCAGGTGCAAATGTAAAGGTAAATTTGCCTTGTGTGTATATGTGTCAATGTGAACGTTTATGTCAACGTAAGAGGATGATTTAATTAATATCTGTTCTTTTGCCAACACCAAACAAATTGTCAACAGTTGCCAACTTTTATGCGTATAACCCGGTATTCAGAGTTGAGCGAACGGTGTTTTCTTTTGGTTTCAAGGAGTCAAAACTTTGTGTACAAATTAAATCAAACACATGTTGCTTCACGCGAAGTCGGTGCTTTCCGGTGAAGTAACTCTCTTCTCATTCAACTGTGATTGAAAAACGAAAGTCGTGAACAGATTGGCGAATATGTGTGCCTTACACAATTTACATACTTTCTTTACACACCTTTCATGTGAACGCATAGTAAATTAACATACACACAAGAATGTATAGTGACACAAAATTACTTACGCGAGTAAATGTTGTGTATGTGAACGGGGTATTAGACTCTTGGAGAAATACCTTGAAACTTTACATGATTCAATTGTTACACACAAAAAAAGCTATGGCAATTTTTGCGAACATTTGGATACAGAATAAAAAAGATAAGTAGTGAACATAGGGCGGTGTTATGTGAACGATCTGACATCCTTCGTCTCCGAAATCATTATCTTCGAACCATTAAGCAGAAACGAGAAGAAGTATATATGAGCCTGTTTTCCTGGATGAAACGTGGGTAAATTCCTCTCACACAGCCAGCAGTCAGTGGGTACCCGGTGGGGACTGTAAGGAGTCTGGGAGAAAGTTAACAATGGGAAAAGGTAAAGGACTTATCGTTCTTCATGCTGGCTGTGCTAGTCAGGCTTTTTCTCCCGGATGTGACCTCGAGCCAAAGCCAAGGACAACAGGAGTGCCACACAGATATGAACGGCAATGTATTTCTGGAATGGGTGAAAAGTAAATTGGTCCCTGCTTTGCCTGCCAAGTCCCTTCTTATCATGGACAAAGCTACGTATCACAGTATGCAGGACCCAGACGCCAAGGCCCCGGCGTTTGATGTCCTTAAAGGGGAAGTGTACACGCAAAAATCACTTTCTTTCTTTTTCTAAACAAAACGCAAGTTTAGAATTAATTAGTATCTGTGTTTGAAAATATACACTCATTTTTTTCACAGTGAACGTAGGAAGCTCACAATAGTGTGAAAATGATATGCCGTTATGAGGCCTTCGTTTTTCGAGCTAAACAGGCCTGAGTTATCCCCCTTAGATTATGACGTAATTGGTGCCAATTCAACTGGGTCCCTGTCTATTCTCAACGCAAAAGATATCAAGTACCAGTTTGCGGTAAACGACACACTCCGGCGCAGTGGTGACTCAGCATAACACTATGCTGGCTGGCATCTGAGACGCTAGAATCACACATCTGGACCTACACCACGTGAAGCGGCTCTAACAAAGCAGGATGACGTCATAATGTTTATCAATTGGCACCAATGACGTCATATTGCAAGGGGCATAAGCCATGGTGTTTTTGTTGTGGAAATAGAACACTTGGTAAATGTGAAAAATATAAATCGTTTTAATGCGAAAAATATGTTAATTAATTGTGATATTTTTATATTTTTGTCTATGACACTTCTATGTTAACACTTTTAATGTGGAAAAAGTACAAGAAAAATAGGTTCATTTCCGTGTGAACTTGCCCTTTAAAGGAGATATGGTGACGTGGCAGCAACGGATGAATATGACCTTTCCTTCCAGGGCTACAAAATCACAACTCTATGAAATCATTGAAGCTAACAAACCTGAGCCCGTGTAAATGGTTGACAATCACGTCAAAGGTCAAGGTCACACCGTCTTACGACTTCCCCCTTACCACTGCGATCTGAACCCTACAGAGTTGATATGGGGTATCATCAAAGGTGATGTTGCAGGAGTGAACACAACCTTTCAATTGCTGGATGTTGAAAAGCTAGTAAATGAATCCATTGGTCAGGTAACAGTGGAGACATGGCAGCGTTGCGTAACCAAGGTCGTCAACCAGATAGAGTCAAGATACCGGTCACGCATGGACTTCAGCAAGCAACAATGCCACCTATATTTGTCACCATCAGCAGTAAAAGCAAATTAATTCCGACGACGAGGGCTGTGACGTGAGCGAGTCAGATTGCTAATAGCATGAGACGACCCCTCATTCGGGGTCATTCATGCTGTCATTCCCTGCAGCGTCGTGTAACACGTGCGTGTTTGCGCTGTTCCTCCCGCCGTTGTGCCCCCTCCGTTCCAGGTGTCAATTTATACCAAACAACATGGCAACTTTTTCTAGTGATGGGAATAAAAATAACAAACAGCTGGAGGGTACAGGGTATTCATTGCCGTATACCATATTGCCATTTAATAGACTGTTCCCGATTCTGAGTTATTGTGCACACCGTTCTCATTTGGAGGTAAACGCATGTACAAGGTGTTGAACGCCGTCATAGTCTATAAGCTGGACACACCACGCCCAGATTCCTGCAATACGTAGAGTGAGTGAGTTGGTTTTAACGCCGCTTTTAACAGTATTCCTGTTATATCACGGCGTGTCAGCTTAATGTGGGAGGAAAACCCGAAGTGATGCAGGTCTCAGACGGTGAAACCCATGTGCACGGGTATGGTGCTGACAAACCTAGAAACATAATCGGGGCGAACCGGGATTCATCATAGGTTTCTGGCGTGCCCAAGGGACGCAACTCTGCATAGCGAATCGCGGCGCCTTAGACGACTTAGATAAAGTTGGAGTGAGTGAGTATGGTTTTACGCCGCTTGTAGTAATACTCCAGCAATCTCACGCCTGTGGATGTCAGGAATGGGCTTCACACATTGTACCAATGGGGAATCAAACCCGGGTAGGGGTGATATGACACCAAATAAGCTTATATATATATTTTCCATAATGACAAGGTTCATATTGCAGGCTTGGAAATGCCTTCGATATTAAGGTCCCTCAAGAAAAGCCTAGACTCTTAGTAACAACCTTGAAAAACCTTGAAAATCGCCAAAATAGTTTGAATAGACTTGAATTTGTACAAAATGACATATACAGGTACTTGTTCACAACAGTTTAATATTTATCACAGTGAAAGATGTGTGTGCCAATGACCACGAAGAATTCATGACAAGACTCAATTTAATTTATTTGTCGGTGGTGAAAATAAAGTTTTGATAATTTACACTGCTTTCAGGTCTAAAGACTGATATTATAGCATGCTGGATTTAACATTGACAGTCTGAGGCTAATAACCCAACTAAAGAAGCCTTGACAACGACAGATGGAAGCCTTGACAACGACAGATGGAAGCCTTGAAAACGCCTTGAACTTTAGTGTTTATGTATGTATGATCTTTGTTTAACGGTGACGGTAAAGGGGTCCGGAAAATTTAAAATCCCAATCGGACATTTGCATTTAGGCCACGCCCCCTTCAAATAGCGTATTTTAGTACGACTTTTCACACACATTACAAGTTTACGTATTCATAATATGATGAATTATGAATTGTTTCAATTTAAATTGTTTAATTCAACGGACAATTAATAACAAATAATATCATTTTAGATTTACATGGAAAACATACGTTTGTTTCTGTTATAATAACGATCTGTTAACGTAGTGAACGGTCTAATTAATATTCATGAGTTATATTCATGAGTCTGCTCAAGTGTACGCGTTGTAACATTTGGATCGAGACTATTATCCCATATTTGCTTTTCACGTGACCTCACGGAAAATGGGTTTTTTTAAACTAAAGATTTTTTTAAAAGCAAGACAGATAATTTAATGACAAATAATAAAATATCGTTGATAGCAATAGTTATTTGAATACTTTTGGCATCTGTACTTATTAATTGACCATAAAAAAATTGGATATCGATCGTCCGAGAAAGCAAAATGGCGGTCAATCAAGATTCAATATACGACTAGCTACTGAAAACAATAAAATCTGCAAATGTACAGTTGTAAACACCTTTCACTCAAATTAACAAGATGTTCTCAGTAATTAATCCTCGATTAATCAGTGTCAACTCAGTTTATTGCCTATTACAGTGATTGACCGATTGGACTATCATGTAGGTACGATGTATTTACAGCAATCAAAACAAACAAAGCTTGTCAGTGTAGTTAATCTTCATTGTGTTGCAACTGCAGACAGAAACTGCTCAGTCCTAACTGTTGATCATGTCCAGTCAAAATTTAAGAATGTCCGGACAATACTTTTTAAAATGTCCGGTAAGCAATATTTTAAAACGGACATTTGAGATTCCCAATCGGACATGTCCGGCGCATATGACGGTTTCCGGACCCCTAAACTTTAACCATAAGGCCTCCCCACCATTCCGGGGATGAAGGGAAGGGCCGATAGGACTGACCAGCAAACCATCCATTTTAGTTCGTGGGAACTAGAGTGACCAGGGAGTACGCCTTTACGAGACACCAGCCTGCTTGATGACGTCACGGGCCGCCATGCCGCATTCTAATGCGGGGGATCAGCTTGATGGAGTGGAGTCCACCACACACGCCGGCCCAGGCGACGTGAACGCAGCGCTGGCACGATGTGACGGACGTTAGTTTTAAATTTGGAATCACGCATACAGTTAACTGACACATCTGACAACATATCATGTGAGTAATGGCATGTTGAGATGAGTATATGGGTATCATATGCAGACCATTTTACACCCATCTTCCTGAGTCAAGGGAATTAACTGACCACAAAAGTCCAGTTTCCGGTTGCCTTGGGAAGATGTTTTACGCCAATTCAAGAAGATGGATATCAAGATTTGCTGAATTGTATGCACGGCAACAATTGAAACTGCTATTCGGTCACGACGAGTGACAACTTTGTCCACTAAGCTACCACACACCTAGACATGACCTTTGGTACATCTCGGGGCTTTACTAAAAGCTCAGACCAGCAGGCGCCCTAAAGACTCACTTACATACTTGATACTAAGACCCGTGAAGGTCCGGCTTAGAATAGGTCTTCAGCAACACATGCTTGTCGAAAGAGGCGACTCTGCCTGTGGTAAGAGGCGACTAATGGGATCGAGTGGTCAGGAAGTCACCGTATCCCAATTACGTGGAACGATACTCATGGTGGCAATCACTGGATTGTCTGGTCCAGACACGATAATTTACAGACCGCCGTCAAATAGCTGTCATATTGCCGAGTGCGGCGTTAAACTACAATCAGGCAAACAAACAAGCTTAATACTAAACACAGAAGAACAGAAATCATGCCTTTCACCGTACACCGAACTGAGGTATCTTCTGTAAATAATCGAGGATGAAATAGACAATCCAGTGATTAATGTAATGAGCATCGATCTAAATGATACTATGACATGTAAGGGTCAAACAAGTCAGCGAACTTGACCACCCGATCCCGTTAGTCGCCTCTTAAGACAAGCACGAACTCGGGCTTTTGCGTGACAAGCGAACGTTTTAACCACTGGGCTACCCAATCACCCATATAATATACATGGCAATTGGCGAACTGGGCAGTTGTTAATATGACGTGGCGGTAAATTAATCTCGACAAGTGCGTGAGTGAGTTAGTTGGATTTTACGTCGCTTTTAGCAATATTCCAGCCATATCACGGCGGGGGACACCAGAATCGGCAATGTTAACATAATGGCTCGAGGGGACTTTTTTGTGCTCGACGCTCTCATAAAACACAAAACAGATAATGAAGGCCACGAGGACCGCAATAAAGGTGAGATATATTGGTTGTGTAAAGTTCCCTGGATGATTAACTTACGTTATAAAGACATGCATGTACGTGTCATGTGCCTTGATAGGCCCTGTCATCCCCATACACGATGACTGATGAGAAAGATTTAAAGGGGGACTTTGTTTAATGACATGGTGGACGTTCTACACATGCAGTTAGTGCCTTGAGTGAGTGAGAGTGCGACAGTTGTACTGAAGCCGGCTGGTGTATTGTCTAAGGCGCTGCAAGTCGCCATCACTCACTCACTCTCATGATCTCAGCTGTACCATGACGGTCTAGGAATAATCCAGCTCGAATGAACACGTGAGAGAATGTTGTTTCATGCCGCAATAACAATCCAACATATCAAGGGGTCGTTAAGTATACAGCCTGCGCATCAGCTTCATATCCGCATGTTGTACAGACACCGGCGACTGTAGGCGACTGCAGGCACCAGCGGATCGTGTCTATCAAATGCGGGGGACATCAAAGGACTGAAGCTGCTTGTGATGTTGACGCTCCCCTGGAACATGCCCAGTGCACGCGTGATGCCCGGATGGTGCAGCAGGATTGAGTATGCGCCAGTGAATGATCCTGTTGCGTGTCCTACTTCCCTGTATGACCGCACCCCCCGGGGCGACATCTGTTTCCCGTCACACTCTCGTTAATTATGTCTTGTGTATTGCCGCTAGAATATCGGTGTATGTGTGTGTGTGTGTGTGGAGGGTGTGTCTACTATGGAGAGTGTGTTTACTATGGAGCGTCCGTCTACTATGGTGGGTGTGTCTACTATGGAGGGTGTGTCTACTATGGAGGTTGTGTCTACTATGGAGGGTGTGTCTACTATGGTGGGTGTGTCTACTATGGTGGGTGTGTCTACTATGGTGGGTGTGTCTACTCTGGTGGGTGTCTACTATGGTGGGTGTGTCTACTATGGAGGGTCCGTCTACTATGGAGGTTGTGTCTACTATGGAGGGTGTGTCTACTATGGTGGGTGTGTCTACTATGGTGGGTGTGTCTACTCTGGTGGGTGTGTCTACTCTGGTGGGTGTCTACTATGGTGGGTGTGTCTACTATGGAGGGTGTGTCTACTATGGAGGGTGTGTCTACTATGGAGGGTGTGTCTACTATGGAGAGTGTGTCTACTATGGAGAGTGTCTACTATGGAGTGTGTGTCTACTATGGTGGGTGTGTCTACTATGGAGGGTGTGTCTACTATGGTGGGTGTGTCTACTATGGTGAGTGTGCCTACTATGGAGGGTGTGTCTACTATGGAGGTTGTGTCTACTATGGTGGGTGTGTCTACTATGGAGGTTGTGTCTACTATGGTGGGTGTGTCTACTATGGTGGGTGTGCCTACTATGGAGGGTCCGTCTACTATGGAGGTTGTGTCTACTATGGAGGGTGTGTCTACTATGGTGGGTGTGTCTACTATGGTGGGTGTGTCTACTATGGTGGGTGTGTCTACTCTGGTGGGTGTCTACTATGGTGGGTGTGTCTACTATGGAGGGTGTGTCTACTATGGAGGGTGTGTCTACTATGGAGGGTGTGTCTACTATGGAGAGTGTCTACTATGGAGGTTGTGTCTACTATGGAGTGTGTGTCTACTATGGGGGGTGTGTCTACTATGGAGGGTGTGTCTACTATGGTGGGTGTGTCTACTATGGTGAGTGTGCCTACTATGGAGGGTGTGTCTACTATGGAGGTTGTGTCTACTATGGTGGGTGTGTCTACTATGGAGGTTGTGTCTACTATGGTGGGTGTGTCTACTCTGGTGGGTGTGCCTACTATGGAGGGTCCGTCTACTATGGAGGTTGTGTCTACTATGGAGGGTGTGTCTACTATGGTGGGTGTATCTACTATGGTGGGTGTGTCTACTCTGGTGGGTGTCTACTCTGGCGGGTGTCTACTATGGTGGGTGTGTCTACTATGGAGGGTGTGTCTACTATGGAGAGTGTCTACTATGGAGGGTGTGTCTACTATGGTGGGTGTGTCTACTATGGAGAGTGTGTCTACTATGGTGGGTGTGTCTACTATGGAGGGTGTGTCTACTATGGTGGGTGTGTCTACTATGGTGAGTGTGCCTACTATGGAGGGTGTGTCTACTATGGAGGTTGTGTCTACTATGGTGGGTGTGTCTACTATGGATGTTGTGTCTACTATGGTGGGTGTGTCTACTCTGGTGGGTGTGCCTACTATGGAGGGTGTGTCTACTATGGAGGTTGTGTCTACTATGGAGGTTGTGTCTACTATGGTGGGTGTGTCTACTCTGGTGGGTGTGCCTACTATGGAGGGTGTGTCTACTATGGAGGTTGTGTCTACTATGGTGGGTGTGTCTACTATGGAAGGTGTGTCTACTATTGAGAGTATGTCTACTATGGTGGGCGTGTCTACTATGGAGGGTGTGTCTACTATGGAGGGTGTGTCTACTATGGTGGGTGTGTCTACTATGGAGGGTGTGTCTACTATGGTGGGTGTGTCTACTATGGAGGGTGTGTCTACTATGGTGGATGTGTCTACTATGGAGGGTGTGTCTACTATGGTGGGTGTGTCTACTATGGAGGGTGTGTCTACTATGGTGGGTGTGTCTACTATGGAGGTTGTGTCTACTATGGAGGTTGTGTCTACTATGTTGGGTGTGTCTACTATGGAGGGTGTGTCTACTATGGTGGGTGTGCCTACTGTGGTGGATGTGTCTACTATGGAGGGTGTGTCTACTATGGTGGGTGTGTCTACTATGGTGGGTGTGTTTACTATGGAGGTTGTGTCTACTATGGAGAGTGTGTCTACTATGGTGGGTGTGCCTACTATGGAGGGTGTGTCTACTATGGTGGGTATGTCTACTATGGAGGTTGTGTCTACTATGGAGAGTGTGTCTACTATGGAGTGTGTGTCTACTATGGTGAGTGTGTCTACTACGGTGAGTGTCACTATGGTGAGTGTGTCTACTATGGAGGGTGCGTCTACTATGGTGGGTGTGTCTACTATGGTGGGTGTGTCTACTATAGAGGGTGTGTCTACTATGGAGGGTCCGTCTACTACGGAGAGTATATTTGGGTTCTGTTGAGATGTACGTCTGCCAAGATGACATTTTCCCGAAATCGAGTCGGTAGAAAAATGAAGCCGAGGTTTTTTAGAATGCCGTCATCTGATTGGCTCAAAAACTCACGCATCATTTATTTTAATTGTGCGGTCAAAGTTCGCCCAGGGTTCAGCTGACGCGCCCTAAAATTCTCTGGATGTGTCAGGTCTTGACGCAGAGATGCCACTATAAAACCCCACATATATTACCTTTCACACACACAAAAAACAAAAACATGTTTTAAATCACACACGTATTGTTTCAGGTAGAGTACGCCCGTGCAGGAACGTATGTATTCTGTTTTAATTGAAATGAGGGACTGATGTGTAAGCGAGGTATTAACGCCGACTAACATTGAGTGAATATGGTTTTACGCCGCCTTTAGCACATGATTCCAGCAATAGCACGGCGGCGGATGCCAGAAATAGGCTTCACATTTTGTCGTCGAACTAGAGCTTTCGACCTGATAAGAAACCACTTCTACCCCTGGGCTACAATAGAGGAATCTCTGGAACCGGTCCACGATCGTTTAAGTACAGATCTAGAGAGCGACCCCTAACGCTATCTATTCCGGAGCCAAGTTTGAACTGCCCTGTTTACACACGTTTATCTAAAGGACGGCAATAAAGTCATATTTTAAAATTTGTTTTTCAAATACCAAACAGAACAGATGGAATGAATAAATAAAAAAAATCCGATCAAATATGAGCTCGCCCCTTTGATGTGTATTTTTAGATGATTTACAATCGGCTATAACTCCGCGGTGAGCGTCCGGTGTGAATATATACTCTTCAAAAAAAGAAACTTGACATAGATGTAAAACCACTTTTTGCCAAATATCTAAAATAATTACATAATATCGGTGGGCACAACCGATACTGACATTTTCTGTACCCCTGTGACATTAACTGTATCGTGTAAGTGTGTCTGTCTAGGTGATACGATTAATGTTTTGAACATTGTGTACATTGATCTTCAAACAGTGTTTCAATTATGGTTTCTGTGTTCTATTTTGAAACAATCGCATTATATACATTACATTTTGAAAGTCAGTGTCAAGTTTCTTTTTTTGAAGAGTATATATAAGGTTGTACTTTTCTGTTCCCTATCATGATGATGGGGCAAAGTGGGCAAACTATCGTCGTCATGGCGAAGTACCTGGTTTGATTCCACACATTGGTACGGTGTGTGGAACCCTTCCCTGGTGCTGATAAAGTGAGTGAGTTAGTGAGTGAGTGTGGTTTTTAGGCCGCTTTAAGCAATATTCCAGCAACATCACGGCACGAGACACCAGAAATTGGCTTCACACATTGCACCCATGTGGGGAATCGATCCCGGGTCTTCCGCGTGACGAGCGAACGCTTTAACCACAAGGCTACCCCACCGCCCCTGGTGCCATATATATCACTACAAGCGTTGTACAACCCAACCCATTCTGTCATCTGCTCGTCACGTCATCATGGATACCAATCCGTATAGCAAAAGGTATTAAAATGGTGATGTTATTAGAATTCATGGTAGAATTTAGAAATAACTCGATTCTAAATGGCCAATTAAATCACAATAAACCCCTCTGGTTGAAACAGCTGGTTTGACGGCCGCATCACCGCGGAAGGTTTATATTCATAGAATAGCACTTTTTTCATTTAATGTCGATAGGCATATCTAAATAATAAGATCTATATCTACAATTACAAGTTATGAAATGAAAAATTGCGGTTACTACAATATTCAAAGGATATGTGGCAATACATTTCGTGCAGAAAACACGATAGAAATCAACAAAGTGAATGTATTTAAGTTTTGGGGACAACATAGCTTGGAATTTGGCGATTTTTTTTATACGACATATCTTTTGCGTCACAATAAGCGATATGACGTCATAATGGTGACGCGCGGTGTAGAACGAAAGCTTTGCCAAGTTTTCTTTGACCAAGTTTTTTTATCAAAGTTTTTGATAGTGTAACGGAGGCTTTAGTTTTCTTTAGGGGTGCCGACCTCATGTTAGCTCTCCAAGTTGCCGTGCTTATATGCTTTCAATGCCTGTCATATGTTCGAGTGACGCATTACGCTGTAAACAAACTGTTTGAGCATATACAGCGCCATATTTTGTTTACAGGCTGTTGTCGGTGAATCCGTGATTCACTTAAGGATTGAAGTTGTATTTGTTGACGTTCATCAGCTGATGAAGACAGTGCCTCACGTGAGGAAATTCCATGATGCGCGAAGCAAGCCCTATGAATTTCACTACCCAAGAATGGGTATAAAAACATGTGCTTTAACGGGATTCCATATGCATTGTGTAGCATCGTGCTGACAACAACCACTCAGAAAAACAATGATTATGATGGGTACGGTTTAACTGAAATAAGAAACTCTGGCCCTCGATTGGCGATATGAGGCGTACTTGTCCACAGATGTAATTTTAAATAATAGAATGGGAGCTAAAAGACACGCGGATACGCTAACTGAAAAACAAAACATTCTGATGTGGCCCAGAAGAAAATATAGTTGGTAGTCACGTGACTGACATGACATTTGCTAAATTAACAACTTAAAAACCTTATAGAAAACGTTTGACAAAGATGGCTTCTGACTTAATAGTATACACATCATTTGAGGTAATTAATTGTACATTACTTGGTGCTTTACGTACGTGTATGTATTTTCTAAATGTGGCAAATATTTCTTTCTTTGGGAAGCAAAGGGATCGCAGATAAACAGAACATGGAACTCGTCTACAGTGGACCCAGATTTACAATATGTACAATAGTATTTGAATGGTCCATGTCTTCGTTGTTCCTAATACATGTATCTTGCATTTAGAAGTGTAAAGCGACATACTTGTGAACTCCTCCAGTCGTCTACCGGGGGATATATTTCACTCGCTATGACAAGAAGTGCTACAATTTAGACTCCCCCGATCTCAATGGGACCACTCAGACGCTCTAAACTACAGGAACCCGACCACTGATATGAAACATTAACTTAACTACACATAGAAAGTTATAAACGTGTCAAAAAATAAAAAAAACCCGCTGCTTATATACGACTTAAATACAGATGTCACGTTTGTGCAAGTAATGATTGCAGGCCAAGGATACCAACTGTGGCTAATGTGGGATAGAAAATACACCGGATCCTGGCATCCAGGGGAAGCAACTCTGAATAGTGCTTTGAAGCAACACGTGATATGGTATAACAGAGTGAGCGAGTTATGTTTACCGCTACTCACCAACATCTCATCTGTTTTCCAACTTTGTATAAATAATCTGGACCAGACAATCTAGTGATTGGAATCCTGAGAATCGATCAACGCAATTGGGATACAATGACATGCTGTAAATCAAGTCAGCGAGTCTGACCACAATGTGGCCAGATCCTTTTAGTCGCCTCTTACGACAAGTATGGGTTGCTGGGGACCTATATTCCTAACGACTATCCTCCATAGCGTTTTTCTATGATAACATACTGATAGGACAGATTGAAAAGTGAGTGAGTGAGTGAGTTGGGTTCAACGCCGCTCTGAACAGTATAGACAAGATGGAAATGATGACGTCAATTCCAAAACCTACGTAGCTTTGGTGGCGAGGTTTCCGGGGTATTTAATAGAATGTAGAAATAATACACAGGATTATCGAGGATGCTGGCAAATCCGTCACTCGAGGAAGGAGCAGCCTTCTTCGCTGACAAGCAATCAGTCGGGTCATCAGATCTGACCTTTAGCTTCAGTTGGCTTTTGTGACAAGCATGAGGGTACATTTTCTCCCTCGGAGAGTAACAGATACTACGTTTGCCACTTGTCAACTGGAGTGAGTATGGTTTTACGCCGCGTTTAGCAATATTCCAGCAATATCACGGCGGGGAACTCCAGTTACCGGCTTCGCACATGGTACCCATGTGGGGAATCGTACCTGGGTATTGGGTGTGACAAGCGAACGCTTGAGCCATTAGGATACCCGACCTCCCACTTATCAGATGGAAGTCACTTATAAATTATGAACCACTTGTTTCAAAATGGTTAGGACCCGTGAAGATCCGGGGAAGAATAGGTCTTCGGCAACCCATGCTTGCTGTAAAAGGCGACTATGCCTGTCGTAAGAGGCGATTAACGGGATTCGGTGGTCAGTCTCGCTGACTTGGTTGATCATATCATCGTATCCCAATTGCGTAGATCGATGCTCATAATGTCAATCACTGGATTGTCTGGTCCAGATTCGATTATTTACAGATCACCGTGATATAGCTGGAATATTGCCGAGTGCGGCGCTAAACAACAAAT